TCTTACCTTCTCCGAGAAGTAATTTTTTTTTAAATCTATGACAAACGTTCTACATAAAATATACTATTATATAGTTACGCGCAGTATTCATCTATCTAATAGTAAATACATGTAAGTAAGAAAATGTATTGTTGTGACTATGACAACCTCGTCAAACCCATTAATGCATTTAATTTAGTTTTAGATATTTATGTAGACTATAAGTTTTTTTATTAAAGCTAGAAAAATATCTAAAAAATATTAGTATTATTAATTTATACAACAACGTAATAATTATTCTTTTTTTTTTTTTATCGATCTAGAGCTCGGCAACTATGACCATTAGCTATTGAAGGGGTTATTATAGTTGGTACGGTTGGTTGGCCTCACACGTGTGTTTTTGTGTTAGTAGAATTTAAAATTGGGCACCCGTAGGTATAGTTGCCTGCCCAGAGAGAGAAGCCACCTGTGGTCGAGATTCGAACCGACACCGTAGTCCGCTCGGCCATTCCGTCCCTCGTATAATTATTCTATTGAATTTATTATTTAAGGCGCGTCCACACTATGCCGATATATGCCATTATATTCATTTTGCCATTTGGCTTTCTTTGATCCCGACCGACAGTCGACGGATACGGCTTGGCATGCCAGTTGGCAAAACTTTGCCAAATGGCCTGTGCCAACAAAAAGTCCACATCACCCTTGGCAATGCCATTTGGCAAAGACATATGGCATAGTGTGGACGAGCCTTTAGACATTTTACCACAAGTGCGTTTATATGATATAGGTGGAGGGTTGTGTGAGAAGTAGGTAGGATAAAGGGGGAGAGGTGCTAATCTTCCAACTATCCCTGACTGACAGTTTTTTTGTAAGGAGTTACCTATTCATCCTCTCCTACAAAATATACCCTCCACTTTGGACTGTGATCATTTATACTTTCTCCGGCTTGGGAGCTTGAAACCTTATATAGATCGGTAACTCAGTTGTAAACATAATAGAACTAGCGGTTGTATTATTTATAATAATATAATGAATTAATATCTTAAGTTTATTATTCTCATAAAGATGATATAATACTGTAATAATAATCTTACACAATATTTATTTTAAGGGTGTCTCAACTGTGCGAGACTTCCAATCAATTATTATTTTTAGTATTATCAATGCCACTGTGTTCTTTTCACAAATTTGCTTACGTTTTATAAAAATAGATTGTAAAATATTCAATTAACCAACGTATAAAAAAAAATTACATATGATACACTGACATATTATTTTTCTGTAATTAATTCAACAAGTAAAATACTTTTGAAATTTTCATAACTATGATAATCACGATTCGTCATTATGTCTTGTTATTATTTTTGTTGTGTCTGTTCTCTTACAATTATTCAAACGAACACTAACGAGATCGTTAAAAAAACGAGAATTGTATGTTATAATAATATTCTTGATTTGATTTTTATGAAATATATATTATAATATGCAATTATTAAATTGATAATGAGTAGATGTGTATCCTGATACTTCATAATATAACGTTGATATATTTATATAATGGTATTTGGTAAAACAGATAGAACGAAAAAAAGTCCCAGGAAATAACCCCAAAAATAAATGCACCCTGTAAAAAATCCTCAGCAAGTGATATAGAATTGTACTATAATATTTTATAAATACAATATTTATGCTTATGAACATGTTCAATAGACATAATGTGTCATTCCTTTTATTTGAAGTTATAATATTCATTCTTATAAATTATCATTGTCCGTATGACCGTATGGTACCTATCAATTTCATAATATTTGAAAAGTACAAAAATGTAAATACCCATTTTTAGAACTTAAATGGAAATAAGGTAAGTAAACTAATGCAAAATTCAAACCTAGCAAAAAGTAATAATTATTTCAGTAAATTGACTTTTCAATAAATTATATTTTACTACCCAAACGTTAGTAAATATGATGAAATTTTAACTGGTTTGAGTTTACTTAATTTATACTGTGTTGGGTACCTACTACATGCGTATAGTAAGAATATATAAATAGATAAAAAAAGAACAAAATTTAATTTAAGTTACATTTAATTATAATCTTATTTTGTTATGCGATTTATTAAACCGTTTTAAGCTATTTCAAAATTTCAACTGAAAACAAACATTCGAACAACTATGGTTTTTTTTCCTGCGAGTTGAATTTTTCCTGTGTACATATTTATTTCTGGAATTCTTTTAAATGTATATAAAAAGTTCGTTAGTGGAATTATGACAGTTAGTAAAATATAATAATACAGATTTTAAACTTTATAACGCCACTGATATTATATTATACTCGGGATATTCAAAATATTAAAATGTCAATCGAATTTATACTGATTTTTTTTTTCATTTTTTTTTGTTACAGGTAAGAAATTATGAAAATTTCATCGTTGGATCCCAGGAAAACGGCACCTCATATCGCGAGATCCTGGTATGAGATACATATAAATTATATTAATATATTATAATGCTCGATATAGACATTTGTAAATGATTGTATTTTTGATAACAGTTGTGTATACACTTATATGTTATCGATAGGATTTCGCCTACTGCCTATTACAGTCGTTTAATAGATATATTCGTTCAAAAATGTTTTTGGTGGGTTGTAATATTATAATATTATTAAGGTAGGTATAGTAATGAAATCTGTAAAAGTAAGCGCTATATTATTAATCTATATTTCACTGTTTATAAATAGGTGACGAATAATATATGACGATTAATTGGTATTTTATTTGATGAATGGAATTTTTTTATTTTTGAAATAAATTAGTTATGACTTCCAACTGGCTGCTAAATTTTAATATTATAGCGGTTATACAGTAGCGTGTATAGTAACTAGTCAAATACACACACTCTCAATAAGGAACATCAGTGCCGATCACGTATACCCAAGCCATTATACGATTACGATAAAAAAAAACCCGTAATCACGCCTGCGATAAAAAAATCTGAACTTTTCGTTTGAACGGTGGTAAGTAAAAAAAAAAAAAAAATGCTTCTACTCGAAAGTGTGCTATTTCACACATCGCTTATTTTGAGATGTGAAAATGTCCAACTTCCGTGTCGATAACGTCGTAGTGGTGACATAACAGCATTCAACTCAAAATCGTCACATATATAGGTTCTTTTTTGATTTTTTCCCCAACGATGCCGACGTGCAGATATAGGCGTAAGCCACTATTTAAAATCGTATGAAATTCTCATAATTGTTTTGGGAATCTTTCGTCTTTGATGACATTTTTAAACTTTGTTAATTTTGAAGAAAAATATGGTGTGTAGCCAATAGTGTTTTATCCACAGAATAAATAGAATGGCACCGTTATGGAATTAACATGGGAGCAGTTTTTGCGAAAGAACGTGCAACATTTCGCTCATATTTAGTAAACGAAACTCATTTCTTATACATATAATATAGTGTGAACCTTAAAAAAATTCATATTTGTAGAAAACTTTAATTAAATAAATTTGTTTTTACTTGGGGATTATTGTACATTTGTACCAAAATACGAATTAAAAAAATAAATAAATATCCATGATAGTAATTCATTTTTAAATAAATAATTTAATGAATGACCCAATAAACGCAAACGAAACATGAACGTATTTCTTTGAAAAAATAATGAACGTGAACGAGTTAATTGGATATACATTGAACGTGAAAGCGAACGAGTTCAGTTATAAGTGAACTTTCCGAACACTGAATGGGATCTTATAATTGTGGAAACAAGTATGTAAAATTGTTAAAATTGTAACATTGTTTGCTGCTAGTTTGAGAAAATAATTACTTTTTATTATTTAAAGCAACTATGTTTATTAAAGTCTATATAAATACATTTAAGTCATTAGACTAAAATATTGTATTATTATTGCATATTATAAAGTCTAAAACGTTATTGAAATCGAACAAGTTGCATACCTGCAAATCAACGATTGGCGGAGAAGTTTAGGGAAATTAATATTGTGATGTTAATTAATAGTAGTACGAATTTATTTATTTTAAGAGGGTGAAATGTATACGATACAAACACAAGTTCGAGTAATATTTTATGTAAACTGTCGTGAAGGTGCTTTTAGACTAGATGACAAAATACGTGTAATTTGTTGTTTCGGCTAACATTATGGTGACCCTTCTGCGGTTGAGTTCTCCGTACATATGCTAGAGATCTATTGTAGTTGTAATGTCACACCAAAACGCGTTAACCATTGTTGCCCTAAAATCGCTGATGTGATTCTGAACAGTCCGTTTTGGGGAGGGATATATTGTAATATATTATGTGTGAGCACTATGATGAGTACAAACTATGTGTTTTTGTGTGCAATATAATGTAGTAGGTAAATGTTTGTAGTAAATTATCATTAATATACGTGAACACTCATAACCCATCGGCTAACTACATAACTTCCATAATCTCATGTATGTCACTTTACCAAACTGGTCATCCAAAAAAAAAAAATAATAGTTTTTCTTGATAAACGTATTCACACACAACTTTTTCCACTTTTTCCACTTTTTCAATAGGTATCTATTGATAGATATATTTATCGGGTATTATTGACTTATGAAAATATATTTTAATTAGTCAATGATTTTCCTTTAGATTTTCGTGCTCAAATAAACTTTATGAGACAATTAGATCGCTTTCAGAAACTCTTTATAATCTATATTTTGATACAAAATAATGTCGGTTGCCTAACTATATTTCCTTACTAAAAAATTACAGATAAAATGCTACTGTATGAAAGTGTGAGATGATATTATCATATTATATCACATGGAACTATTCATTAACGACGATTACATGATTGGATGAAACATTAAATACGTTTCATTTAATCATGAGCGTCCAAAATTCAAAATTATTATTACCTATATAATATACTAATTATCAGCAACGATAGCGACCTCAGTTATTCGATTGTCGGTGTTTAAACGAGAAAACACCACTACCATTCTGTTATAGCATACAAATAATGTTCAATTGCAGGCCGTAGAGCATTTTTTTGAGTCAGCTGGTCGCTGCCTGTGTCTCAAGTACCGTCGACTGAGCTTAACCATCAGCTTACGGAAAGCTTCATCCTCGGAAAAGGGGTCTGCATGATATTTCTTTGACGATACCATGTTGATAAAGCCCATGGAGCTGGCCTTGCAGCAGCTGGCCAGCCACTTAAAAAGGTCCCCCATGCAGCGGATAGTTGGCACTATGTTGAGGGGCGGTGGCAGGTCGCTGTGCATTGAGAATGACAGGAACACCTCTGTACGGCCAAACACCCATTCCACGTATGAGTTGCCGGTGACCCGCTGGAAGGTGTTGGTCATGGTGGCGATGAGCATGTTTAGCGTGACGATCACGGACAGGGTCTGGAACACGGAATAGAGAAGCGTGCCCACGGCCTGTGTGATGTAGTGGTTGTTGACGGGTGACGCTTCCTCGCCTTCTTCGGCTGGCGGGTTCTCGATAACCACCGTGCCGGCCGTGGACGATGTCATACAGAACACGCCCCAGAAGAGTGTCTTGAGCGTTGAGTATACGTTTATGAACGACTCGTCCTGCTTGGTCTCATAACCAGTGACCGGGTCGACGCGCGTCATGCCCGCGTAGTACTGGTAAAATCGGCAAAGTCCCGCGGTGAACGCCACTATGATTATGCCGAACACGGCGGCGAGCCTGGCAAAGTCTGTGGTCATTTTTCCCAGGGACACCTGCAGTGGGCCCAGCGAGTAGCTGAGCTGGCACAGAAACAGCAGCCTGAGGTACGACATGACCGTGACTATGGCCAGAAGGCCCTCGCCGACCAGTGTTGGATGTAACGATGTCCAGTATTTACGCTCGACGGGTGGGTTGCGTGGGTTCAAGTACGAAACCCACCAGCACACGATTGTGGCGGCTAACATGCACAGTTTGACGCAGTCGTAGATGTTCCACAACATTCTGAAGAACCGCCAAGGACCTTGCACCATGACCAGCTTCATGGTGCGCAACACGAACGTTACTGCGTACACCACGATGATAACTTTGAGCACCAGGCTCAAATTGTCGTCAAGGCAATCGGTCACTGGCTTTTCCAAGTTGTTGGCCCACGTCAGCACCACCAGAAACACGGCATAAGACGCCAGATAGTTGATCATCCTGTTCACGGGCAGTGAGTAGTACTCGCTGTTCGTCGAATACGGTGCGAACAGGTACAGGAGGAAAATCCACAGAAGAAGTGGCACTCGAAACAGCACGGCCCAGGCCGATGTATTTGACCAGCGATCTTTCCACACGTACCAGTTGCCCGCCCACGCCACTTCCAGGATCTGCTGCACGCTGCCGTGTGCCACAAACTCTTTCTGCTTCAGGTCCATGGCCATCACCAGCCGGTGATACGGGAATGACCCGAAGAAGTTGCAGCCCTCCTTCCGGGTCAGTATCAGCTTCACCTCACGCGAAGTTCGGCACAGCCCGATTAGGTCGACGGCGAAAACCCGGGTCTGCAGGTTCAACGATTCATAGTCAGACTTGAACAGCCGGTTCACGTTTCCGTGCTCCAAGAGCTGCTTGCTTAGCTGGAATGAGGTCAGGATAGGGTCAGAAGACGTCAGGTAGATGTAAAACGGATTGGCCAGAGCCCGGAACACCGACAATTTCAGTTCAGACGCCTCAAGGCCATTGTTGAGTTGGGCTAACGACTTGCACACCTGTTAGAATATTATTTTGTAGATAGAGAGAGGCTACGAGTTAAACATCTAAACATTTGGAATTAAAATACAAGTGGCAAGATGAAAAAAGTTAACAATATTTTAGACATAACCACAAACCTCTATTTCCAAAACAGTGACAAAAACAATTGTTTTAATTGTATTTTTATGTACATTAAGTCGTAATAATATTATAAACAGGTAATAGTTGTATTTAAAAATGGATTTCTCATAATATCATTCAAATCTTTTATATACATATTTATTTACTAAATAATTCATTCGAAAAAACTGCTGATGAAACGTGAGTACTATAGTATACGTTGACGGGAAAAATGAAATGATTTCCTACTGACCTCTTTGCACACACATCGAGCTTTGTGTGGTGTAGGTATTTTGTGGCCTCGTTCTAGTAACAGGCTGATGATTTGGTGGTGACCGCACTGGGCTGCTAACATGATCGGCGTGAGGTACTGTGGAAACTCGGTGGAATGCTCGTAACCCAACTCGGCGCTTTCCGGACTTTTCACTTGGATGATGTCTAAGAGCTTGATTACGATTGGATAATAATTGTGACGGATAGCACGCATTAGAGAGTCTCCAATTTCGAGATCGGGCCATGACAATAGAAGATCGATCATCGGCTCGCAGTTGACTTCAATGGCCAAATTCAAGCCCGTTATGCCCTGGTAATTTTTGCAATTCAGGTCAAAGCCACTGTTATTCTCCAATAGTCTTTGGACTGCCGACACATCACACATTTTTATCATGTTTAAGTACTTTCTCTGCAGTTCTTCCTCCTCGTCTAGATGAAAATCGTTAGTGGTGCCCGATTCATCTTCCGTCGTCGAATTGTTAGGTGCCTCAGTCTCCTCATTTTCAATTGACGTAGTAGACGCCATGTTGTGATCTGTTTATACCTGTTAACTAATAATGTACCAACCTGAACGGAAATCGTTCTATTCTGTGTTTAATTCTAAATTCGTAACTTTGTAAACATTGTATCCATCGGGTAATTCATAAACAAAAATTAAATTACCATGACAAATAAATGACTTGTAAGCTTTATTTCTTTAATAAACAACACAACAAAGTGGTGTAGCCAGACTGTTATGGCATTTAAGATTTGCTTAAGGTACATAAATCAAAACTGCACATTGACATAGGGTATTTCTGAGATGTGTATAAACAACGATCACGACGGAGTTGCACATTTTTTTTTTTTTTTGGCACTGATAAAGTCATTAATGATCATTGTGTACTATAGTTGTTTGAAATAAAAACACTGGAAGTATGTAAATTATATACAGGATGTAACGGGACTATTTGACAAATATATCAACTTTTGTATTGGCAATTTGTTAAATAGTCCTGTTACACCTTATATTATATTTATTATTTATTTGTTTTTCTTTAATAATTATTCATTATCAAAATAAAAATATGACTGTTTTATTCGCCATTGACGGTAGTCAGGTATTATAGGTAGTTAGAAATAACTGTACAATTTGTATAATATATAAAAAAAAAACTATAGTATTGAAAACGTGATAAAAATATCTCTACGATTCGTTTCAATAGAGGTTGATATATTTTAAGGAAAAATTAAAAATACTACCTACTCGAAATTGTGTTGTGTTACACGTCGTTTATTCTTTAATAACGTTGACATAAATACGTAATACCATAACAGCCTTCAACTCAAAATTATGGCCACTTAGCTGATTATTTTCACACTGACGATCCCAATGTTGCAGAATAAGTATATGGGAATCATAGTAGAATTATTATGGGGTGGGAGTTTATAAAAAATACTGTTCCTCTGTTATAAAGCCATTAGAATTTATCTGGAAACACTGTTTATTCAAATAAATATAAAAATGTATATTATCAGCTTAGCAACAAACCACAAAAAACTTTTAAAAAAATAAGGAAGCGTCTTTTTTCTTGCTCCATTATTGATCCCAACGGATCGGAAATACGTCATGGAATTAACCATCTGGATTATTATTTATTTTTTTAAATGTAGGACCATTTTTGAGAGGGATTAAGATTCCTTTTTGTTTAATATAATTTATATTTAAATTGATTAATTTCTGGGCGTAGGTATAACCTATGTAATATCATACATTTATGTTCATCTGAAATCTAACATCCGAATCCTCAACAGCAGACACTTCAACACGTGACCCTCGATTCTTTGGAGTGAAAATAAACAAATACTATTTTAATTTTGTGTCAAAAGAGAGAGACACGTTTAATTTGGTGAACATCGTTTAATAAAAAAAGGTGGCTATTTCGTTTCGTTGGCTCGGCAAGGCCCTTACAACACTTACGAGATGATCTACGGGATCCAAACTACTCCAGTGAGAATTATATCATAATATTATACTGTCAAATCCACACTTATGGTATCTATTGTAACATATTATAATATTATATTATATGTGGGTACGTTGTGCTTTCGAAGCCAGTAATAATATGTCAGGTCTTGAAGTGAGGGTAGCGTGGAGTAAAGGATATTGTCTAGGCTGTGACATGAAAACTATTTTGTTTTCAAAATATTGTATTTACAATTTCATCAAACGAATTACGTTTGCTTATTTTTTTCGGAAAATATAATTTTTTTTTATTATGATTTGTGTCTGTCGTGAAATTTATTAATTATTCGATTTTTTTCATTTCATGTATCATATATCATTAACTTAGTTTACAAGAAAAAACTGCTATGGTATTGTGAAAAATAATGAAAACTTAACTATAAAGTATGAAATTTGTTTAGGCGTATAAAATCCTCCTCCATCCACGAAAAGCCAAATAACAAAAAAGAAATGGTTATCATTGTTGTGATAAACCAGCAAGGCACTTCCTCCTATAAGTCTACAGGATTCAAACTGAACCAGATTCATATCTATCATAATATTATACTATCATATTCACACGTACGGTGTCTATGTATAACAGCGTTTAATATTATACTATATAGGTGCGTATTGTGTTTTGGAAATAAAGACAAAGATTTTAGGTCTTGAAGTGCGGATACCACTCTGCCATATAGGATAGTTCCGGTTTTTTATAAATATAATATATTATATAGATAGGTGCACCACATAAAATATGATCGATTGGATCATAAACACCATATCTTTATTATATTGAATACAATATAATATTATAATACGGCTTAATTACGGGAAAAGACTATTTTTCCCACCGATTTGCAACCCGGCTGCTATTATATTATAATATAATATAGGTACCGACTTATACAGTTTAGCTCATTATAATAATGCAATAAATAATCAAAATAAAAAAAATAACTAATTAAATTTTTACATTAGTAAAAACGAAATTCCGTTGCACTCGCTAATAGGTATTTTGCGCGCACTTTATATTTTGTTCAAACAATAAAATCTCAATCTCAGCCATAATATGTCTCGTATAAAAATTATACTGGGACACTACATAATACATTAAATACTATATATATATTAATTGTATAACTTTTTTACTTGATAATGATATTATTTCAATAATTCTCTGAAAAAAACTTCATCAGACACATATAAATCGACCAAAGCTCCGTGCCACTTGTACGGGATAATTATAGTAACTTCATTGCATAATAATATTATATAGAAATTGAACAATTCTAGAAAACTTTTTAAACGTATATTATATAATAATATATCTGAACAAAACATATTGTGAATGTCGTGTTTTGACCACTGGCTAGATCAGGAATGTCAAATCCATGGTAAGCAAAACAAATATGATATCTCGAGAAAAATTAAAATATTCATCATAAATTATTAATATTTTTAATAGTAAATTACATCACAATACAATGTATATGGATATTAAATCTACAGATGTAATGTAATAATCGTTGTTGACCGATAAATTTGTTTTCTGATTTTGATTTCGGTTTTGGATATCGGTGTTTATTTTCTAAAAGTTTTTATTTCGGTTTCAGCTATCAGTATTTATTTTTTCCGATTTCGTTTTTGTTTGGATTATGGGTGATTATTTTTTTCTGATTTGATTACCGATATTGATTTTTATCGATTTCGTTTTACAGTTTCGACATTGATTTTGGTTTTTAACGGTGAAAATCGGTATTAACATAATATGTTCAAAGCTCTGCTTAAGTTTCTGAATACATAAGAGATACAGCTGGCTTTAAAATAATCTTATATTGCGCCTGTTAAGTTACATAATTAATGTATTTATACATGATAGGTGAAAATGTATTACGAAATATTTTTCATGGAAGGTTTCGAAATAATAATACGATATATACCCAATAGATTATTATTTTAATTTTTCTCCTATTTCATGACCACTTGACGTGATTTATAGCAGAAATAATAAGCTTGTGACTTTACAATACGTTATGACGTCATCCAGACAGGAACATCATTATGATTGCAATATTATTTTATCAGCCCATGATATTTATAAATTACCAGTATTCAATGCGTTTTAATATATAATATATTGTTCCCATCAGATATTAATATGAAACATCACTGGTTGATAATATTTTATTGTGCACAACAATGAATGTATTTAATACGAAGGCAGGTACGCTTGGGATGTAAACATAATTGAACAACGGTGTACATTGTAATTTTACAAAGTAATATATAGGCAATAAAACCATTTAAACCACTCATTCCTCAAATTAAATTAGCACTTAAATAAACAATACAAAACACATGAAAACTGTTCAGGTACCAACCGGGGCCGTGTATTATAAACTTCTATACAAATTGTGAAAATATAATTTAATTATATAATTAACGAACATTCAGCTAATATATTATCATACGCCGGTTAGTCGGTAGACCTTTGACAATTTATAATATCAAAAAGGAACATTTGTTATTACTGGTTTTGAGTTTCACGTTCACGGTAGAGTACTCAACGTCTCAAACTGCGCCTTTATTAAATTTAAACTTTGTAATTCGTTAATGGCATATAATTGAACAATTTTAAATACCCAGTCACTTGTTCCAATGCATTAAGATTTTGTAAAATTTGATTTATGTTCAAAACAAAATACATTAAAAAAACATTATAAAAAAATTACTCACGTTCCATACATATACAATCAATATAGGTACGGTACAATGACGTAAGTACACCATACGAGAACTCTGGCAAAAACAGTTTTCGATTTATGTGACATGAGAAATGTTTCGTTTTAAAAATATTGTATTTTCAATTTTTTATTTTATCTAACGCTCAACTGCTCAAGACTAACGTTTACTTTTTTTTTCAGAAAATAAAACTTTGTCATAATGGGTTGTGTCAATCGTGAAATTTAATAATTTATTCGATTTTTTTTTCATTTGAAATATATATTATATCTGATTGTTTGTTCAATCAGTAGATTTTATACATTAAAAACTACTAAGTACCTACTTATAAGACGTGCAATTTGTTAAGCATTTAAAATCATCCTATAGCTTCCAAGTCTTTACTGGTTAGTCCCGAAAAAGTCAACAAAAAAAGTTTGTAAACCACAAGAATCTCTCATAATTGTCCTATAAGAAAATACAATACCAATAACGTTAACTTTAATATAGGTAATTGTTGTGATAGATGTTTTAAAAATATTATGCTGTTGTGTTTGATCAATTCTAATAAAGTGCTTCTGCTTGAAAAAAAGTCAAAAATAATCGTCTGTCGATTAAGCAACCAGCCCTCAAAGCACTTGGGCTTAACGTTTATCCATTAATTACTATTGAATGGAAATTATCGGAAAAACGTTCAATGGTATTGTATTTAACACTCTATGAACAATGATTTTTTTTCCCAATAATGACCAAATTAATGAGTGTTTTGATTCGTGGGATGTGGACATAATGGAGGGTATAGAATGTGTTTAATATAA